GCTTCAAGGTGTACGAGCAGACAAAGATGTCACTGAAGAAGGCTGCCCAGACCTTCTACGGTCTGCAAAAGTACCCGTGGAACTCGGCTGCCAAAAGCATTGTATACGTCAAGTCGCGTCTCTCGTGGATCTTCGAGACGTACACGGACGGCGGTCTGGTGTCTTCGGGCGCCATCAACCAGTACACTACCGGACAGTACTACCACTACCTTCTCGAGTTGGATTCTGCTGGTGAGATCATTGGCGGTGAGTGGGTCTACGGCTCTGATGACGACCACCCGGACTTCCTGTGGCTCCCCAAGGCGAAGCCAGCTGCTAACACTGTGACAAGCATTGGTTTGAGCTACGCGGACGTTAGCATGCTGCTGCAGAAGTCGCTGTCCTGCTAGGCATAAGGATTGTGTGTCTGGGCAGAGAATCGCTAAAGAAAGACCATTGTTTTTAAATCAGTAAAAATAGAAAGATGCCGTCTTAGAGCTTTACTGTGATCTACATGTTCTTTTATCCGCAAAATGGACATCTGAAATACCGAAATGAGGCTAGAGGTAGAACATTTTTATGCAATCTCTAAACTGGCATTTTAAAGCTGTTTTTGGTTTCAATTTCACTTTTAGAACCAAACGTTGGTGTCCAACAGAAGCTTCGGCCGGAAGCATGATGGCCTTCCTGCCCCGCTCGAGCAGCTATAACGCAACGCGAAGGAATAGCTCTGTAAGGAATACATATCAACTATCAGGGTGCCAGAGAAATAATCATTCAGTGCCCATAGGCACTTTCGAAATTGTTGGTATCTTTGAGGGGCGTCCGAGTCGGACGCCCTCCAACGTATCGACAGCATTGCGACGTTTTTGACAGGGCAAGCACAACTATGGGCACTATTCGGTGCAAACAAAACACGCAGGCTACTATCGAGATCAGCTGCACAACACGCAGCGCCTTCTTGCAGTCCTCGTTTAGACTTGATGGCGTCAGCAGCTCCAAGTACATGTAAGCACCATCATGTGTTGGTATGCCGAACTTGATAGCAAGCGTGACGAACTCGACGTGACGTCGATGGCGTCCATGGCCTTATTCTGACGAGCTTTTAGCTGCAACTCGTGATTCTGATTGTAGTGGCCTCTCCCATGGCGGCAATCTAGCCCTTAAACAGCCACCACGAAGCCGCGCTTGGCTCAGCGCCTACGAAGCCTGCAGCATATCGTATTTAGACGCTCAAAACAAAACCGAAGTGCAATCGTCGGCTACCTGTAATAGGGTTCGACGCGCACATTTTAGTTTCATTTTTGTAGCTTCCAACCTACAGTGGATTATATTACTGAACATCATTTTCCAGATCAAGGTGGCAACTAATCTTGAAATGGCGTGTCAGTGTGATTTCTAATTTAGGTCTGCGTGTCGACACCATTTTTATGCGATTAGCAAATAATTTTTTTTTCAAGACTCGCATTTTTGCCCGTTGCACTTATCAATTAACCCCTGAGTGGTACATCCCTTAGACTCAGTCTTATACCACGCGGTACACAGAGCGGAGCCAATTAGAGCGCTCATTTGCGGAAGGAGGGATCCGAGCTCAGACGTGTGGTGAAGTGCTTTCTCAGAAATAAGAGAATGGTCCTGACGCGGGGTCACTATCCCGAATCAGTGACAATTTCAAGTGATTATAGAGGATTTGGGTTGTTTGGCACGGGTGCAAGTTGCCTGTGGTGGATTAGCCATGGCGAGCAGCACCCCGTATGGAATGACGATGGATCTGATATGAGCAATGTACGAGAAGGCAAGATCCACCAAGACTTACCTCGGATCCACCCTTACCTGGATTCACTAAGATGGATATGGGATATACTATACAAGAGTGGATCGAGTGTGGATCCTATGAAGGAAGGATGGTCGGTGCCCTCTGACGGTGGATCTAGTAGCCACGGCTAATGAAGAGTCAAGATCCACCGCGAGTTACCCCGGATCCCATACTTCTGAGTTCGTATCCAAGGAGGGAGGATCCCGCCTGGAGGGACCTGGATCCAGGGTATAGGGATGAGGGATACAGTGGATCTCGAACTTTCGTGGGACAACGGAGATCACAGACGGTTGCGAGATGATGTTGGATGATTGGAGAGCTCGGATCCACGGCGAGTGTACCATTACAGTGAGGTGGATCCAAGCGACCTGGATCCGGATGAGTGTACCCATAATAGGGTGACCATGATGATTACGTCATATATCCGGTGGATCTGAAGATAACACAGCTGGGATGATGGGTCAAGGGAAGAAGGGACATGCAGCCGAGCCTGGTAAGGGATTTAGCAGATGAAAGACATAGAAGGTAGAAACCCAGGCAGGTATAGGCTTAAATATCAATACAGTCCTCAATTTGCACAGTATCACGCAAGTGCCTTCCTGCCCTCAAGAACCGGAACTACATTGGCCGTACGAGCTCCGAGAAGGTTGGGAATTGCGAATCTAGTGTTGGTAGTGATAACTGGATAATACATTGGCCAGATCCTACAACCTAGTGAGCTTTTCCTTTACTCGTGCAGATCCGACAGGTTAACCGAATTTACTACTTGGTCGGTTACACCCTAGAGGTTCTCAACTCTCAAGATCCCGTCACCGGAGGCGGCAAGTACGACTTAAAGGACAACACAAAGGCAAGGGAACACACCCGCAAGGCAACCCTACGGCTAGATCCACGATCTAGGCCCCGGATCCATAAGCTCGAATATTCGCTTAGGATACGGAACCATCCACGGACGCAGAGTGAAGATTTTCCACTGCTGCTCCACCCCATCCCCACGTCTCGCCAAGACACTCAAGCTTCACCACTTGAACTCTTCGGAAGTTACCGAGAGAGCAGATCCCGCCCTACCGACGGGTACACAAGGTGAGGAAAGTTCAGCAGAACACGGATCATCGGGGGACCCCCTCCGTTAGTCGGTGTCTGGGCGCAGTTGGTAAGTTGGATCTGGCAATCTCGCAGATTTTGCTGATTCCGCTACACCACAAAAAGCTCACTAGGTTGTAGGATCTGGCCAATGTATTATCCAGTTATCACTACCAACACTAGATTCGCAATTCCCAACCTTCTCCGAGCTCGTACGGCCAAATGTAGTTCCGGTTCTTGAGGGCAGGAAGGCACTTGCGTGATACTGTGCAAATTGAGTTCTCCATTGATATTTAAGCCTATACCTGCCTGGGTTTCTACCTTCTATGTCTTTCATCTGCTAAATCCCTTACCAGGCTCGGCTGCATGTCCCTTCTTCCCTTGACCCATCATCCCAGCTGTGTTATCTTCAGATCCACCGGATATATGACGTAATCATCATGGTCACCCTATTATGGGTACACTCATCCGGATCCAGGTCGCTTGGATCCACCTCACTGTAATGGTACACTCGCCGTGGATCCGAGCTCTCCAATCATCCAACATCATCTCGCAACCGTCTGTGATCTCCGTTGTCCCACGAAAGTTCGAGATCCACTGTATCCCTCATCCCTATACCCTGGATCCAGGTCCCTCCAGGCGGGATCCTCCCTCCTTGGATACGAACTCAGAAGTATGGGATCCGGGGTACCTCGCGGTGGATCTTGACTCTTCATTAGCCGTGGCTACTAGATCCACCTTCAGAGGGCACCGACCATTCTTCCTTCATAGGATCCACACTCGATCCACTCTTGTATAGTATATCCCATATCCATCTTAGTGAATCCAGGTAAGGGTGGATCCGAGGTAAGTCTTGTTGGATCTTGCCTTCTCGTACATCGCTCATATCAGATCCATCGTCATTCCATACGAGGTGCTGCTCGCCATGGCTAATCCACCACAGGCAACTTGCACCCGTGCCAAACAACCCAAATCCTCTATAATCACTTGAAATTGTCACTGATTCGGGATAGTGACCCCGCGTCAGGACCATTCTCTTATTTCTGAGAAAGCACTTCACCACACTTGTCTTTTTCTTGTTCTTCTTCTCTTGGTAGCTCGTAAACTGGAAGGCCATACAAACAGTTCACAATGGTCACAATCTGTTCCCGGGTCGCGGCACCAGTTGTGGTGTTGGAAATCCCACGTGAACTCTAGCTACAGATGTAGTTAGGATGTTCCCACAACAATACGTCTACTAGGATAGTAAACGATCGTTCGGGCGGACCTGAAGACCCCAGTTCTGCCCTTGCACCGGGACAAACTGGACCTTGTAAACTACTTATATAGGCCAACCAGTAATATAAGAACACGCTACTAGCACGAGCAAAGCTAGCAGGTGTTTTGAATCCTCGTGGTCCCAACAGCGGAAGGGTACCAGGCACGGGTAAGCCTTTTACGAGATCACCGAGTGTTCAACACTCGGCTGGAAGAAATAAAAGGGAGGCAAATTCAAGCACTCCCAGTCGTGCAAATAGGCAACAATAAGCCGTCACGTAAAACCTCCCGATAATAATCGGCCAATACACAAAGTCTCTTGGCCTTGCCGGATGAACCCTCGCTACAGAGCTTCGAGTTCACCGACAGGCATAACACACTCAAACAAGCTTGACCTGACGCTTACCTTGAAGCCGGACGTCGCTCTGTGTGCTTGAGTGGAAATTCTGTTCTGTATTTAAGCTTACCCTTTCGGGTCTATTCCTAATAAGAAGTCCTAATCAAGTATACAAATATCAAGTGAACAATGATCCGTTATGGATCTTCTTGCATGCCAAGCGTCGTCTGCACTGTCGCATGAGCATCTTTAACGGTCCGCGCCCTGTCCCAGACGGTGAACGTGTCTTCCAAAGGTCGCTGAGTATTCCGCGAACTCATCCCAACCGCCACTGAGGGGTTCGTACCGTAGATGGTCCGCTGAATGCGAATTCGGCCAGTCCATTATTAATAATAAGGACAGCCTGCATTCAGTGACATAGGGCCCGTATCCGATACTTGTTGAAAACTCGGAGGTGACGCCGTCGAGTCCCTTGCACCTTGGCGTCTCCGTACATCACCCGACCGAGGGTTCGTCGCTTGAACAACTTGGCCCTCGGTCGGGTGTTGTCCGGGGGCGCCAAGGTGCAAGGGACTCGACGGCGTCACCTCCGAGTTTTCAACAAGTATCGGATACGGCCCTATGTCACTGAATCGGGGCTGTCCTTATATTAATAATGGACTGGCCGTCTATATACAAAAAAGAAACATCTACGGAACGAACCCTCAGCGGCGGTTGGGATGAGTTCGCGGAATACTCAGCGACCTTTGGAAGACACGTTCACCGTCTGGGACAGGGCGCGGACCGTTAAAGATGCTCATGCGACAGTGCAGACGACGCTTGGCATGCAAGAAGATCCATAACGGATCATTGTTCATTTGATATTTGTATACTTGATTAGGACTTCTTATTAGGAATAGACCCGAAAGGGTAAGCTTAAATACAGAACAGAATTTCCACTCAAGCACACAGAGCGACGTCCGGCTTCAAGGTAAGCGTCAGGTCAAGCTTGTTTGAGTGTGTTATGCCTG